TTACCAGTAACAATTTCTTTACAGAAACTTTTACCTTCTTTCTTGCATCAGTCCAAAGTCTGTTCGCAGATGTCCAAACGCTTCTGTTTATGGTCCTCCATGAGTTGTTTCGGTACCCATGTCACACAAACTTTTCAAAACCTAAACCTGTCGTGGATTATTTCGTAGGCAGAGTAATGGCTGATTTGCAAATGATTTGCCACATAATCCACTGTCACTTGTCTATTCAACAGAATCATTTCACAGGTATGCTCAATGTTTCATCAGCCATGGACGTGGATAGGCATTTTAACATAACCGGAATGCAGATAATTTTTGACTCACCCTCATGTATGTGTGTGCATGCATGTGTGTATGTGTGTACATCCATATGTATATACATTATGTGTCAAAACAGTTCTTATGTATAACCACCTGATAGCATGGCAGGTCTCTGGTAACCAGGCTAGGATTACGACAATGATTTGTTCAGCAACAAGGACCCTCACTGAGTCCCCACCATCTGCCAGATCCTTTAGTATTTTATATCATTTCATGATACCTACCCCCAGGACCAGGCAGTGTTATGTTGCGTTGTGCACAGGGTTGCTATGAGTCGGTACCAACTCGATGACACCTAAAAACAATAACCCCCCTGATATTTTGTATATTTAAAACTATAGCTCTGCGAATCTTTTTAAATCTGCTTAAATAGTCCCAATTACTGAAATTGTCCTATTGAGTCCTAAGAGCAGAAACTGCCCTAGAAAACACCTCCTTTTCCTCAAGGATACTCTTAAGATATTTTTTTTCCCAAACTAAAATTTCTTTCTTCTCTGAAGAAAAGTGAAATCAGCAATTATAGTTGTATTGACTAATTCAGGGAAAGCCAGTCTAATCATATTATGTTTATTAAATGTTCAGATTCAGATTATTGAATCAGTACTTGAAAGATTTCTTAACTGATTAAATTTGAGAAGCTATTCTGGTTTTTAAAAGACACTACTTTGTCTTTTGTTAGTATGGCCTTCTCTCTTAGAAGACCTTATGCTGTAGCCAAGTGATTTTAGCATTGTTTGTGCCAAGGATATGCTTGAGAACCTGATTTTTAAAACCTATGAATCCTCCCAACAACAGCAGACAACAACCTTAGATTACTATACATGACAACACTAAGGAATAAAAATCTCCAAACTAGAAAACCAAACATAAGTAAGAGTTAGGAAACCATACAGAAGGGGAATTCTTAGAATGAATTACTGGTAAAAACAGTGCTAAACTATTCAGAGAAGTAAAGGCATTTGAGGCCCAAGCACAAACACCATAAGATTCCAAGTTTTAATGTCAAAAGAACAGTTTCAAAAGAAAAGATATATATAAGCTGGATAACAAAAGACTAAGAAATTATATTGCAAGGATTCTGAAACCTTTCAAGAAAGAGGATAAAAGAAGAAAAGAAAAAAAAAGGATAAGAGAAATGTCTGTATGTCAAGAAGATCACAATAAGGTCAGGAGAAGAATCTGTGTGCTGGGTTCCCTGTGCCGGGCATTGGAGACACAAAGAAATACAACATGTCCCCAACATCTAGAAACACCTAATCATAATCATAGTAATTAGAATTCATTAATGAGCAAGATCTGCCTTGAAAATTATGGGCAGACAGCGAGGCCCTCCACCCAGCCCAGAAGGGTAGGAGATGCCTCCCAGAGGTGGTGGTGAACAGAGCAAGCTCTTAAAGAAGTAATTATAAACCTGGACTCCTGGTATGGCGCTGTAGGATCAGCACTGTGCTGTGAACCACAGGTAGGCAGTTCAAATGCACGAGCTGCTCCTCAGAAATCCTAAACAGGGTCGCTATGAGTTGAAACCAATTCCAGGGCACTTAACAACAACAAGTAGTTTATAAACCCAGAGGGAAAGGGCATTCCTGTCAGAGCATGGAGCAGTTGGTGTCGTTTAGGATAAAGTGCAAAGCAGGGAGGGGCAGGAGTGCTGCAATCTCCCCAATAATTAATACATGAAATCATACACTGAGAAGATGTAAAGATGGGAGCTGGCAAAGCAAATAAGGCAAAGGACATGGAACTAAGGTACCCAAGCACCTTTATCAAACTGAGTGACCATGCGTCGTCGCATTAGTCTAGGTGAATAAGGAGACCAGAGAGCTAGAGGTTGCGTTAGGATGAAAGAGAAGGAATGTGAGAGGTATATAACAAAAAGGTATATTCAAAGTGGAAAATTTTTGTAAATTCATTTATTGGAAGCAGCTCGCATATCAATAACAGTCTTGGGAGTGGAAAAAGCAGAGGCGCCTCAAAGCCACTGTGACAAGATGGTGAAAGTGTCCTCAAAGCAGCATGGCCAAATCAATGTGGCATTGTGGAGTGTGCTTACCACCAAAGACAGAAAGGATGAGCATAAATAACAGTCAAGAGCTGTGAAAGCTAGTCCTGACTTTACTACATGTCCTTGGGAAAGTCACATAACTCTTCTTTCTGCACCTATAAAACCAGGAGAACCAAATGGTGATTTGGTTCTAGAATTATACAGGATGGCTTTCCCATATGGAAAGGACAACTGTAACACAAAGAAGAAGTGCTAGGAAACTTCCTTGAAGAAATGTCTTTACTGTATTCCCTATCAAAATTCATAAATGTCACCATTATTTTATTTTGAAAGGTGGTGATGGTGGTGGTGTGCTGTGGAGTCAATTCCGCCTCATAGCAACCCTGTGTAGGGTTTCCGAGGCTGTAATCTTTATAGGAGCAGAAACCCTCATCTTAGCCCAGTGCAGTGCCTGATGGTTTCGAACTGCTGACCTTGAAGTTAGTAGCCCAGCATGTAACCACTCCACTACCACGGCTTCTTTTGTACAGGACCTTGAAATTAACTCTTTTACGTATAATTTCTTTAATATATCATAATCGCCGCACTGTGACATCACTATCATTCTTATTTTCTAAATAAAGAAACTATGATTCCACAAAGCAGAAGCATTGTGGGACTGATTAAAATCTTTTTCTCCTAACATAAAGATTCTACCTGGCGTCTGTGATTGAGATAAGCCATGAGATATTAACATTTGGATTTTGAAAATTTATTCCATAAACAAGTTATCAAAGGACCTATTACGTGTTGGGACATATTATTAAACTGGACCAAAGCTAAAAATATCATTCCAGACACCCCAACAGCCTATGTGATCACTGAAATTAACCAAAGAAGCTGTCCGAACTTTATGAAACTTTCATAATGTTGAAAGAAAGCTTTGTAAGTGAAAATAAATCAAAACAAGACGTCACATATATTTGCCTATACTGTTCATTATAGAATATTGTAGAATAAATAGTCTTTATTCATCTACCCTCGTGCAATTGTCATAAATAGAACACTGCGTTAGACCAGCAACTTTATTTTCTTTATAATGATTCTTTTTTCTTTGGTAACCCTAAATGGTACCCAGGTCCCAGATTATTAAATATAATACTCCACTCACACAAACTGCTTACTAATAAACCTATTCAAAAATAGAAGACATTTTCCAGTCTGTAAAAGGAAAAAATAGGTTTCAATTCTTTAGTGTCTCTTCATTAATTCATCCATTAAAAGTCCACTTTATATAAAAAGGTTATTATTTGCTTCCTCAGTGAATCTAAAACTCAACTTTATATTCTAAACTACAGAAAATCCTTTTTCAGAAAATTAAACTTCTGGTTTAGTTAAAATAATTTACATGTATCGTTTCAAGTCAGACAATACTTTACAAATTAACACTTAGAAAAGTTAACTGTTATAGAACTTATGCTATGTGAATACTGAATAAAAAGATTTCCCCACTTTGGTTTCATTTCATGATCAATCAGCACTTTCAGACAAATGGCAAAAATCTTTAAGTTCAAAAATACACTACACGTTCGACAGAAAATTCTCTACCATAGACCATTTATATTTAAGTCCAATAAGATTCCAATCAAATTTTTGTATACAAGGCTTTTATTATGTACATCAGTTAACAATTTACCCAGCAGAAAGGATAAACTACCTGAGCATTATACACTACACCAACTACATACACATTATAATTTATCAGCCATCCTTCAGGGCATAGTCTATGGCATTTTGCCTTCCAAATGGAAATATTATCTTTAAAATTCTCAATTAGAAAATTAAAAGGAAAATACAGTATTAAAATAAGTTCACCAAAGCCAGGTATACAGCTGTCATTTTCCTCATGTAGGCTAAGAGATAAATACTGAATGTAACTCTAATTCTGTCATAACAGGTGAAGTTCATGCTCTGTCACTGCTAGTTCATCAATTTCACTCAGCTGCGAACTCTCTACAGAGTGGACAATCAAAGAACATGCCAACATTACTATCTTGATCAGAGAAAAAAAAAAATATTCTGCTCCAGAGCGCCTGCCATCCAGTACTGAACACCGGGTAGGAGTCTCTGGGGGTGCAAATGGTTAAGCATTCAACTACTAGCCAAAAGGTTGGCAGTGCAAACCTACCCAGAAGCACCTGGAAAAACAGGCCTGGAAATCTGCTTCCAAAAGGCCACAGCCTTAAAAACCCCATGGAGCACAGTTCTACTGAGCACACGTAGAGTTGCCATGAGTCAGAACTGACCTCACAGCAACAGGTCTGGCATTGTTTTTTCTAGATTTTCATCACCTAGCAACAGTATCTAGATGCAGGCCTGAAGGTTTCAGAAAAATTATCCTAGGAGGGAATTTGATAGAGACTCATTTGTGACAACCTAAAAGGACTTGTGCTTTCTTTCTTAGATCACTATTCCAATGACTTCATTCAGCTCATCTTTCAATTCATCCTGAAAAATGAAAGAGGTCAACATGTCCTTTGTGGTATAATCAGGAGGATCAATTTCAACTTCTAGGTGAACTACTCATAAATTTTCAAAGATCAAGTTTACCTAACTAAATGTTATATACACAGCAATTCTATTTGTCAGATGTCACGATTTAATACCAAAGCATAATCATCACTACAGTACTCACTTTTAGTTTCTTGTTAAGTTTACAACAGTACCTATACACCATTGCCAAGTTCAGAGGTCCAAAATCTGCATAGAAACTGAAAATTAAAAAAAAAAAAAAAAAATTAAAACCATATTAATGGAAGCATCACTTTCAGTAATATCGACTTTAATTTTTTATTTTGTTAAATTTGCAACCAAATTTCAATCAGCCTCACTAACATGGTTCATTGTATGTAACTAATCCGATTCCAATAACTAATGATTTCACAGTACTCACCATTCCAGGGAGTTAGTTGGGCAGTGTGGAGTTCTACCTATTATCTCCCTTGGGCATTAAAGCAAAAGGATAGAAGAGCGAGCAGCGGAAGAACATGAGCATAACATTTGCACAGCCTACACTTTCTGCTTTTATTTTATTATCACCCATTTAATTACAAAGTTCATGTGCTCTGAGTTCTAATCCAACTATTCCACTTAAACGCTGCTTTCAAGTCTCTTAATTCAAGTATCATAAATCCAATGGTTGTTTTGGGTTGGTTTTTTGGTGTGTGTTTTCAGTTCTCAAGCTCCTTGAACCTTTTGCATAAGATACACCAGTTCTTCTTCCTCTCCCTGTTCCCTTATGTCTCCAGGATAGTCATCAGTCCACAGATCTCTCTCTCTGACTCATTTTCATGAATTTAACTGAAAATGTCACAGAAAAGAAATGTCACCTACAGAGCATCAGCCTTTTCCATCTTCAACATCTACCTTTCCAGCCATCACCTGGAACTCAGAATGTGTAAAACTCAACCATTCTTTCCTTCAAAGGAAACTTTTTTTTCCAGACGAAAAAAGTTTGCTTCAGGCATGAAACTATAAGCTTCTCTTAATCAATAAATTTATGCTCATATAAATTCTTCTATAACAATTAAGTCACCACTCTAAGGCATTCTTTCCTTTTCTAATCATTCTTAAGCCAAAATCCAGATCCTCTTCATCTCATACCTATGCTATTTAAATTCTCTCTCGCCTTCCCAATCATCCTGTATACACCACTACATCAATTAATCTTCCTCACTTCACACATATCCCCCACTATTCACAAATAGTTAATGGGGCCTTGCTTCCTTCAGAATAATTCCTAAACCCAATAGATCTGATGCAGTACCATGATATATTCATAGGCATTATTTGGCCATAGTTTATAAACTGACCTAATCTCCAAAATCATCCCCATATGGGATCTCTATTACAGATAAGTCTACTTCGTATTTCCAAATATTCTATACAATTTCTTAATCCAAGTCTTGCTCTCTTTGCCCGAATTTGCTCTTTCTGTAGCACTCTAGCTTCTTCAAGTTCAAGTTCAAATACATATAAGTTCAAACCATATATACCACCTCCATGAAGTTTTTCCATGCCCCTTAATGAACACTAATTACCTTCTCTCAAAGTTCCCAAAACTTAGCATCTGAGCCACTCTACACATACTACCATATATCATAATGAGTTCATTTTGAAGTATAGATTGTACATGCCCAACTACAGAGTACATCTTTCTGTTAAGGTCTGTACCATATAGCTTGTGTGCTTAGAAGAATATCCTGCTCATGACACAAATCTTCAACAGTGGTTTTTCATTATGAACAATGTGCTCAAGAATGTTATAACTCCAATGTTAGTCTGAATACAAATTTACAAAATACCAATTCTCAAAAAAATTGATCTCCAAAAGACCCTTAATTTAAGGAAGTCATATGATCTCGTGTTTTCTACTATCCAGAATATTTTTTTATCATAAATGTGCCATTACACCATATCAAATATTCCAACTGCCATTTATCTTGGATATGTAAAAAACACAAAACTTGGATATTGTATCATTTATGTTAGACAAGTTGGTAAAATTTTGGAATTCACATTGCAGGCAGCACTACAATTAGCTGTCCCTGTAAATAAGCTTCAGGCAAGGAAAACCAGTTACCAAAAAAGGAAACCTATAATAATTTGGATTAAAAGGTCTTTTTTGAGTGTGTTGCTCTGCATTGTAAATATAAACAAAGTATTCATGAATCAAAAATGGAATGTCTATAACCTAGTTAGTGACCAGTCTAAAAATAGTATTGGCAGTCATCAAAAACCCACTCAAAAGAACTAAAACAACACCAGAACACAAATAAACACCTACAGCACTGATCAGTAGTCCGGGAGTGGCACGTAGGATAAGCACTGGGTCAAACCCACAAGCCACTCTTCAGAAACCATAGAGAGTCTCACTAGAAGTTGGAACCAACTCAACAGCACACAACAACAACAACAAACATTGATTAAGACAGCTCTTTTTCTATCACAAAGAAATTCCTGTTCTTGGCTTATTGGAAACACTTTGGTTTTTTCATTCTTGAATATAAATATTGACACTTATAGAACTTTAAAGTAAATCTGGAAATCTTAATTATGGTTATTTTAGCTTTTTGAACTCATTTTGAACTAAGTTCAGAAAAGCATAAAAGAATTCAGACTATCTAATTACTGTTTCATACTAACCACGACAGGTCAACTTCAGCTTCAAACTCAAAGCTGTACAGTTTCTAACTACCAGGTCTGTTTAGCCACAAAGACTTTTGGAAGCGATGTGATTAACAAGTGCACCTATTGCACCAAACAACAACAAAAATAAACCTATCCTTGTGTGGCACTGTGGGATAATGCACTGGACTACAAGATCAGTTTGAACTGCAAGGTCAGTGGTTCAAATTCACCAGTCACTCCTCAGAAACCCTATACAGCGTGGCTATGAGTTGGAACTGACTTAACAGCACTTAACAACAACAACAATAACACAGAAAAGTAGGTCCTCTTTAACGAGCTTAATTACCTAGGATTAGTCTCCCACTCAGAAGTTGAACTCAGACGTGAACTCAATCAGGTGAGAGCCTCACCTATAGGCTCAACTTGTTTATCAAAGAAGCAGGTAGACACATCATGATTTCCAAGGCAGTTAGTTCCCAAGCTCTTACAAACACTGGTAATATGAAAACACTGTCCCCACTTAGGAATTGATGGAATAAAAATGGAAATCTTTCAAGAAAGTGAGGCGGCAATGGAGGCACTCACTCATCTATGCCAAGAAATCTGGAAGACAACTATCTGGCTGACTGATTGGAAGAGAACCATATCTGTGTTCATTCCAAAGAGAGGTGACCCAACGGAATGTGGAAATCACCGGACAATCTCTTTGATACCCCATGTGAGTAAAGTTTTACTAAAGGTAATACAGAAATGGCTACAAGCATACATTGACAGAGAATTTCCAGAGGTTCAAGCCAGATTCCGAAGAGGCCATAGAATGAGGGATAGCATTACTGATGTCCAATGGATCTTGACTGAAAGCAGAGAATATCAGAAAGATATTTACCTGTGCTTTATTGACTATGCAAAGACTTTCGATTGTGTGGATCATGACAAGTTATAGACAACATTAATTGTGCTTAATTGTGCTCATGAGGAATCTGTACCTGGACCAAGAGGCAGTCGTTCGAACAGAACATGGGAACACTGAATGTTTTAAAATTAAGAAAGGTGTGTGACAAGGTTGTATCCTTTCACTATACTTATTCAACCCGTATGCTGAGCAAATAATCTAAGAAGCTGGGTTATATGAAGAAAAACATGGAATCAGGATTGGAGGAAGACTCATTAACAACCTGCGATATGCAAATGATACAACCTTGCTTGCAGAAAGTGAAGAGGACTTAAAACATTGACTGATAAAGATCAAACAGCATAGCCTTCAGTATGGATTATATCTCAATGTAAAGAAAACAAAAATCCTCACCACTGGACCAATAAACAACATTCTTATCAATGGAGAAAAGATTGAAGTTGTCAAGGACTTCATTCTTCTGGGATCAACTATCAACACTCACGAAAGAAGCAGTCAAGAGATCAAACAACGTATTGCATTAGGCAAATCTGTTGCACAGGAACTTTTTTAAGTGTTGAAGAACAAAGATGTCAGCTTGAAGACTAAGGTGCGCCTGACCCAAGCCATGGTATTTTCAATAACCTTATATGCTTACAAAAGCTGGACAGTGAATAAGGAAGACCGTAGAAGAATTGATGCTTTTGAGTTATGGTGTTGGAGGAGAATATTGAAAGCACCATGGGCTGCAAAAAGAACCAATAGATCCCGTTTTGGAAGGAATGCAGCCAGAGTGCTCCTTGGAGGTCAGGATGGCCAAACTTCGTCTCGCATACTTTGGACATATTGTAAGGAGGAAGCAGTCGCTGGAGAAGGATATCATTGTGGTAAGGTGGAGGGTCAGAGAAAAAGAGGAAGCCCCCCAACAAGATGGACTGGCCAAGTGGCAGCATCGATGGACTCAAGCGCGGCAACAATAGTGAGGTTGGCCTAGTATCAGGCAGTGTTTCGATCTGCTGTGCATAAGGTCGCTATGGGTCAGTACTGACTTGATGGCACCTAACAACAACAAAAACAAATCTACCTTGAAACTGGTACGTGCAAATGAACATGAAGCAGCTAGTCATGTCTGGATACTTGTAAAAAGTCCTAAAAGGGTCATGTAAAATTTTGAGACAAAAGGCAAAAATTAATAAATTCAAAAGTCTACATATTCTACAGAAAACCCTTCCAGATTTCTGTAGATGAAAAGCAACTTGCAGACTTCAGGTGGCTCAAACTCACTAACCACGCCATGGGAGAAAGATGAGGTTGCCTGTTCTATAAAGATTTACATTTCATGGAACCCTGTATAAAGTCACTATGAGTTGGACTTGATTAGATGTCAGTGGGTTTGTTTTCTGTTTTGTTTTATTAGCCAACAGTAAGATTAAACAATAAAACAAATTACTGAGTCGGCCAACACCAACTCATGATGACAGTATGTACGTCAGAGTAGACTTCTGCTCCATCGGGTTTTCAGTGGTTGACTCTTCAGAAGCAGATCACCAGGCCTTTCTTCTAAGGCACATCTGGGTGGACTTGAGCCTCTTACATTTTGGTTAACCCATTTGTACCACCCATGGACTCCAACAGTGAGATTGGTAGTGGTGGTAGTGGGAAGTGCCATCAAGTAAGTTCCAAGTCATA